TAGCTAAAATGGAAGAACAAGCCCAAATTAGCAGGAGAAAGAACACACATATACTTTGTATATATATCTATATATATATATCTATCTATATATATATATATATATAAAGTTTTACCATTAAATTTGCAGTAGATTTACACATGCATCAACCTCTGCAGGTCAAAATGACGCCATTCTTAAATTGCAGTCCCACAAAAATCACTTCAAGGGCCGCAAACGGCCTGCGGGCCACATATTGGACACCGTTTAGCGGAGGCTTTTATTTTTTGTGCAAAGCTGAATTCTGTTATTTTGTAGTAGCTGCCTCACGTTTAAGTTTAGGTTGTAAGTTTGCTAAAAAGCAAAGTTTAAAGCTTTTTCTCCAAAGTGTCAAAAAAGTGATTTTTATTTTTTCAACATTTGGTGCTTTAGGAACTAAAGTACTGAGCTTTCCCACGTTATATTTTTTTGATGAACTTTTATAACCCGAAGCAGCTAAAAGTGCCTCATTTTTAAACCTCACAAGCCGACATGAGGAAACAAACGATGATGCAATGGTTTGTTCCGGTGGTGAAACGGCGGTCGCTGCTCTCGGACTCACGGTTCTGTCTCTTCAAAGATCGAGTCCATGATGTTGAAGCTGCAGAGGCTCCAGCAGAAAGCCATCCTGGACGACGACTACGACGCCGGTAAACCCTGCACTTTTATTTTATCATTAAAGACAGAATTCTACCGTAATTTTTGTAAAACCGAGTTCAAGCCATGTTTGTGTTTACCATTATTGATCAGCTGTGGCAGCCATTTTGAATGCCAACACCTCCAAAGGTTCGATGATCTTAAAGGTTTGTCCAGACATCACTTTCTGCAGGTTTCATTCAAATCCGTCCAGTGGTTCATGAGATATTTTGCTAACACTACAGACAAGCTACTGTTTTTGCCAGAGGTAGAGGTGAATGTTTTCCATCTTCTCCCTCAGAATAAATAAAATCACTAAGTTGCTGATTTGAAGTTACAGAAAAAAATAAAAAAAAATAAAAAAAACATTTCGACTGGAGCCCGTGTCTCCATTTTCAACTCCCGAGGCCTCAGATCTGAACCTGGGTCCAGACCGGACCCCTTTCCTTTCAGTCCGACCCGAGTGTTTTTCCTGGCCGACCCGAGGGAGAGTTTATTTTCTCAACGAGCCCCACGTTGTAACAGAAATAAGTCCCTCAGGTCCGTCTGTGCTGCGAGTCCAGAGGACCTGCTTGGCTTTATTTGGGTCAGTGCAGCCCGTCCCTTCAAGTTTGAAAATTAGTTAAATTGTTGTAACTTTTGATGTGAACTTCTATTTTTCAGTAAACTGTCTGAGGCTTCTAGCAGAACTTTGCCTGTTTTTTGCACAACTTATGAAAAGACAGCTGATTAATTAGACCGGGGTGCCCCAGACTTTTTCAGCATGTGAGTTCATTTTAAAACGTCCAAGTCAAAGTGATCTACTTGCTGTGGTGAATGGACTGTACTTATATAGTTCCTTTCTATCTTATCAAGATACTCAAAGTGCTTTACAACACAACCTGTGCCTCATTTACCCATTCATACAGCACTCTACTAGATCTATAATCAGAGCTTTATCACATTCATGCACCGATGGGACGCATCGGAGGCAACGAGGGGTTCAGTGTCTTGCCCAGGGACACTTCAGCATGTGACTGCTGGTGGCATCGAACCCCCAACTCTTGCATTGGAGGACGACTGCTCTAACCACTCAGCCACAGCCGCCCATACACACTATAAGGCCCCCCTTTACACGAGAACCACATCTGGAAACATTAATGTTGTAATAAATAAAAAATGAGCGGGTTTACATGAGAATGCTGTAGTTTCCATTTCAGTCGGGTTGCCAGATAAGAAATGATCAACTATAATACTGTGGATTTAAAATGATAGTGTTTTGACCTAAACTGTATGACGGAGCTTTAGGGCCACACTAAGAAAGAAATAAAATAAAATAAAAGCCATAAAATTACAAAAATAAAGTCCTAGTATTACTAGAATAAAGTCGAATAAAGTCCTAAAGTTACAAGAATGAAAGTCGTACGAGACTTTTTTCAACTCTCGTTTATTTATTTTTTTCCATGAGTCGCATCCACAACGCGACCTGTCAATCAATCCAGTAGGCGTGTCAGCTAATGACCATCCGAAGCTAAACGAGTCTTAATATCATCCTAACTCAGACACAATAAAGCAGGAAAACTGCATTTCAACTGTGGTAAAATTAAGAATGTTGAGCATCTTGTTAAGTTATACTTTGGTATTGGTTTTACAAATAAGGAGATAGTTAATCTGTGAGCACATCAGCATCAGATTATTATCAGTATCAGGACTTTGAACCTGCTTACAGTCAGGTGGTACGCTCTTATGGGCTACAGGTAACGAGCATTTAGCTTCAGATTGGTTATTTGATGACCCCCCCCCAACATGCTTAGTTTCCTGCCCGTCGGGGAGCAGCAGATGTTTGTGTGTGCTGATCCACGCGTGTTTGCTTTCAGCTGAGCGCTTTGGGAAGAAGCTGGAGGAGCTGTGCAGGGAGCGAGGCGCTCTCAGGCTGGGTTTACCCTCCAGACAGCCTGGCGTGGCCCTGTTCCTGGACAGGCTCAGGCAGGGGGTGCACGGCGCCCTCCAGAGGACAGACTGCAGTCAAGGCAGGTGGGTAAAATACGAGCTTCGTTTCACCGCAGCACCTTTGTCTCTGAATGGCACAAGCTAAAGGATGACGCAGAATCTGTTCGATCTTTAGTTCCAGACGTCACATTTTGTTTTATTGCTGCTGATGCGTTAACCTAAACCCTAATTTTGTTTCGTTCTTTTTCCCACGTCTCGTTTATTTGTAACAAAACGTACAAATGTGTGGCTCAGTTGGGAACGGTGGGCTGTGATAAGTCATCGTATATCCTATAGCATAGACAAAATGTGCAAAACAAAAGAAAGTTGCATCGCCGTCATGGAGTTCGATTGGATTTTGGGGCTCAAACGTTGAAGCAGGAACATCACTGAAAGTTTAAACGGGTCACAGACTGTTGGACATGTCCCTTTGGTGTCTGTGATGGTTTTTGGACAGTCGCGGATTAAGTTCCACGATCTTGTTACAGATTTTCCTACGAAAACGTTCAACTGAGAGTTGACGTTGTCGCTAAATTTTGAGTCGTCTGAAAGGTTTCAAACCTTTGCAGATAAACTCATCGTACTCCCTCAGATCTTTCTGGGTCATGTACAAGTTATGCATTAAAATGTAGGGATTCTTGTTGCCTTCCACCCCATGTGTCTCCCCCATGGTTCTCTCAGAGGACACGGTCAGACTTTAGTACATCAAAATGTTCTCGTCAACATGAAGCAAAGGGTCATTTTAACTCGTCTTATCTTCTACATAAAGCACCACAGAGTCCTAAGAACTCACGTGTGAGGCCGTCAAAGTCTTCTGCAGCTTTCGGTTCAAGAATTTTTAAGATGCAACTTGTTGTGTTCGAACGGCGACCGTTTGTTTGAGGCTTACTTTTTAGTCTGTCCACCTCTGTGATCTTGACTGGTCTTGAAATAAAATCCCGAGTTGGAGGCGAGACCGAAACCATCAAAAAGTGGTCGAGACTGGTCTCCGTCCGGAACCAACACCACCCAAAACCTTCGAAGACTCGTCGTTGCAAAGAAACGATCACCCGTCGACACAAACACGCGCTGCTTTTAGGAAAACGTGTCGTTAAGCGGCAGCAAAACGTTACGCGCGTTACATTAACAAACGCAGAAATGTTCCTGTTTTTAGTATTTTACATAACATAGCTGTTGTTGTTTAGTTTTTATTTCATTTCTTCTATTTACTTTTCATTTCATATGCTTTTTATATGATTGTTGTCTGTACCTCATGTATGTTCTTTGTTTAAAACAGGTCTCTCTTATAAAAGAGTCCTCGAGGCTCAATGAGACTAACCTGGACAAATAAAGGGTGAATTGAATATTGTGTTTTATCGTGGTTTATTTACAGGGAGGAGGTGGAACCAGAACAATCGGACCCGCTGCAACGAAGAGATGGTTTGGTTCAAGAGAAACGGCAGGTGGAGGTAAACCCAGCTCACGATGCTGTATTTTCTCTACCAAAGCATCAAAACAGTTATTTTAAATATTTTACCTCGTAGGACTACACACCAGCTTTTTTTTTCATATTAGGATTTTACGTAACATCTACCACGTGGTGAGAATGAATGAGTCTGAATTTCTGCAGTTTATAGTTTTTAATAGGCCTGTCGCGATAAACAATAAATCAATTAATCGCGTGATAAATGAAAATTATCGACCTCATTTTCATTTATCGACTTCATCGTTTCTTCGTGTCTCTCTTTTTACTGAAGACACTGGATGATAAAAGGCTCTTTGACCCCTCCCTTTCTCTTTTCTCTTTAAAATCCATTTTAAACGTCCAAAATTGCATGTTTGGATCATTAAAAACAGCTAAGCTACGAGCTAAGCTACAAGCTAAGCTAACAGGCCAACCTCGGGGAAAAAACCTCCATCTTGTCGAAGCTACAAAATTCACGGTTGAAACCCGTGCCTTCGTGTAAAAAGTTGTTTTTCTCTATAAAAAGAAGCTGAGAACTTGTTTACTGATTTTTTTATTAAAAGCTTTGTGTGAAAAATGCTAAAGAGCTCAAACAACACCGAGCGTCCGCCATTTTGAGAACCGAAGAGAGACAGCCCATGTCACGTCAAGGGGCCTCCCTCCCTTTTTTCTTAAAGAGACACGCTGCTCACTCCCTCACTATCCATCCTTCGGTTCAAAGTCTTACACTGCCATCAAGTGGTCAAAAAAGGTACTACACACAAAACAAATTAACCAACATTTCTTCTTAAATTTGACAGTAATTACTAATTATTGTCAAATTTCAAACAATATTATCGTTTATCGCAATAATTTCTGAGACAATTAATCGTCCAGAAAAATATGTTATCGTGACAGGCCTAGTTTTTAATATATAATCAGAAAGTGTGAATATATTCTTCACTCGGTGATTGTGGCTCAACAACAACCGAGCTCATCAAAAATCGCAGACCAAACGTAGGCTGTCAATCAGAGAGGTCAAAGGTCACCGTTTCAGCAGCAGAGAGCTGAGGGTTCAGAGAAAGGCTCAATATATTAAAGACAAGAAAGCTCGTGTTCATGTCAGACGAGTGAAGTAAAAAACGACTTCTTGACCCAGGAGGAGGTGGCAGAGCTGCAGCGGCGGCTGGCGGAGCTGCAGGAGCGCAACCGGCTCCTGGAGGAGCAGATCCAGCAGGAGGAGCGGCAGCTGGAGGCAGAGGAGCTGGAGGGCACCGTGCTGCGCAGCTGCACCACGGTCCAGCTCCGGGACCTGAGCCGGACCCTGCAGGACCTCGTCACATCCGAATACCGCTCGCTGATCTCCATCTCTCCTCCACCCTCCACACTCAGGTCAGAGTCCCACACCGCCTCAGTGCTCACAGCTTAGTGCATTTAAATGTGTGTAAATATTGTTTTTCTGTTTTTATTTTTTATAAATTTGAGGAGTAGAGCAGTAATTATGTATCAGAATCGAAATAAGCTTTATGATCATTGCACCGAGATACAACGAGAACATGTACGTACAGTCGTCCGAAAGATGGACGTAGTGCACAAAGCTGCTACTACAAAAAGCACGGCCCTCTTATTCTTGTTCAGAATAATATTTTTGCTTAGATGAGAAAAGGGAAGAAAACATGAGGAGAGATGGTATAAAAAACGATCTGTCACACCTTGTCCTAGACAGTGCACGATTTGAGGCATCAAAAAAACCTACCACAGCATCGCACATAAATAGACGTGATACAGATAGGCCGGTGAAGACATTGAATTTTAAGCGAAGGTCGTAGCATAGTCCAGAGCTTAAGAGGTGTCATTCATCTTCAGCTCGGTTCAGGTTCCGTCACATGTCCATGGCCTTGGGGAAGGGATCTTTGTTTTTTCTAAACATGCCAGGAGGATTTGAGATAAGTCCACCGTCAAGGCCCTAGTTTGGGTCAGGCAGAACTCGTAAATTGCCGTTTCTGCCTTTTAAAGTCTCGCTGGTACATTTCTCCGATGGTGACTCCAAACAGCCAAATTGATTCTTTACGCCGTTTCTCCAAGATTATTCCCACTGTTCATGGGTGCTGCCAGAAAGTTCACAGTCCTGTTAACAGCTGCTCCAGCTCTGACGCAGCTCCACATAATTCCGTCTGAGTGCTGCCAAGCTTCGACACATCCACACAAATTTGGAGATAATCCTGATTTCACCAACCCAAACTGCAGAATCCAGTTGTCATTGTAATCCAATTAGTTTCCGTCGAGGTAAGAGGGTCCTCCTTACCCTGACTCCTGTCGGGAGAAGTTGATCAATTTTGTTGAGACCAGCTGATCAAATCCTTTGAATTAGGAACGGATGCAGGACAAAAAAGAGGCTCTTTAATGGTTCACAAGACGAAAGAGTGCAAGCAGGGAAACGGTGGGACGGAGCAGAAGAGGACATGTCTGTCTTCACCGGAGCACAGAGAGAGAGAAAAACAAAAAAGTGTATCAGTCAAAGTCCACTTCACTAGACCTTCAAGTTCCTCATTTATGGAATTCATCTATTTTTACACACACTAATTTAGAAAATAATTGTATTTTCTGTCTCCAGAATTGAATTTAGCATGCCCAGAAACCTATATTTTAATGCATAGATAGAGAAATTTTAATAATTTGAAATCACTTCAGGTCAGAAAACACAAAAAAAAATGACTTCCCAAGGCGGCCATCTTGAAAATGGCAGCTACTATTTTTCCAACGTGGTTCCCGGAAATATACATTTATGAGATTATTTGTTCTTTTATCACCAAATGGAAGATTGTTTCATTGATATGCAGCACGGTGAGGCAGCGGCAGGTGCTACAGTCAAACTTTGTGAGTTTTAGGTGAAAGTAAATTTACAATAAAAACATTTTATTTGTACTTTTAGGATAAAAAAATGACTTTCTGGTAAAATTTGAGTTTTTCTGTCCTGCTGCGCAGCCTATCAGAGCAGAGATCAGAAGCTCTCTGGTTAATTCACTCCAAACTGAACGAGTTTAAAATGTTAACATGTTAATTTACCAAAATCAGATTATAATCTGATGCATTGGATTACTGCCCGGTGGCCTGCAGCTCCTCCAGGTGGGGCTGCAAACGAGCTTTAAATCCACAAAGTTTTTTATTTTTATTTTCACGAAACGTTTGAATGAACTAATCAGGAAGAGGAATCAAGAAGTCTTATTTATTTATTTATTTATTGCAATTTTTAGATTATTTTGATTGTTTTGGCTCGTGTCATTTAAAGCAAAACTGTTCTGAAAAATAATCCAACATATTTCATCCAGATTAAAAACCAGAACAGCTCTGCAAACATTCAGAGCTTCACAGACGTTCTCAAGTTTAGCTGAGAATTCAGATAGATTTTAGCTGATGGATGGAGAACGGATAGTTTCTGATGACATCACAACAGTCGAAGGCGGCTGCCTGTGTGTGTTAGCAAAATATCTCGTGAACCACTGAATTCAGCACCCATTCACTTCTGGAGTGAATCTAAATCAGATCGACGGGAGATTCTTCAGATGATCAGCGTCACCAACGTTAAGTTTGAATATCAGCCGAAGGTTGGACGGATTTGTTCTGTCCCGGCTCGTCTCAAGGTGACCGGGTCGCCCCTGATGGATTTCCTGCTCCGTTCTCCCATCTTCTAATTCATTTAAATCTCTGTCACCCCTTCACGTGACCTCACCGCTTCATCCCGTTTGCACGTTTGTCAACACGAAATGTCACCGATCGGACCTTTACCCTGAAAACATGAAGCGAGCGACGACAGACGATCTTCTACTGAAGCTGAAAAATCCTGTAATGCCACTTTAATTGATGACCTATGTGTTTAATTGTGACTTATCTGTGCTGCTGATTTCTTGCCTCCAAACTGCTGTATTCATACCCATCTGCTCACTACAGTCTCATGTTCAGGCTGCTGTTTCATACACCGTATTGTTTTACATTATTAGTGTTTAGCGTATATCTTTTAGCTTATTGTTTGGCGTTTGTTTAGCGTATATCATAGTGTATTATATTAGATCCTTATTTACTGTTTCTTTCTATACTTTATATTTTAAAAATTAAAATGGGCTTAAATCATATCTATCTGATAGATTCCGATTTGTAAATGTAAATAGTGAATCTTCTTCATACACCAAAGTTAGGCATGGAGTTCCTCAAGGTTCAGTGCTTGGACCACTACTCTTTACCTTGTATATGCTTCCATTAGGTAATGTTATTAAACAACATGGGATAAATTTTCAATGTTGATTTGGTGTGGCGGCCATCTTTGTTAGGGTGTAGATGCACATTAAACGTTTACTTATTACATTTCATTCATTGGTTCTTGGGATATTTTTCTAACAGAGAGATAAATGCACAGCGGAGCCTTTTATTGATGGGCAGTAATAGCTGTAAGAATAATAATGTGCTTTTAATTTAGTGCAAAATCGTTAATTTTGGATGTTTTTTAATTTTCAAGAGCTAAAACGAGAAAGTCCTCATTTTATACATGAAAGACATTTTGTAAACATTCTGGGTGTGAAAACCTGATTACAGGTGAGCAAAACACACCTGTAAATTATTTAAAGAAGAAAAAAAGTCCCTGCGTGGTAATAAAAAGGGACATTTTCCCCTAGTAGCACCTTTTACCCGACCTTATGTTCAATACGTCATTATCAGATATTCAGTAAATTGATTGTTCGAGGTAAAAAAAACAACAACTTGGGCTTTTTATTACAATTTGAATTGATTGATTATCAATTAAAACTGTTTGTTCTGTTTTGCAGACTTCAGGAGCAGGAACAGGCCCTGAATCTGTCCATCAAGGAAGCTACAGCTAAAGTGAGTCACCTGACGGGATCATTTAGATCATGGGGTTCAGTGGAAAGGTGAACATCTTACCTGTTGTGGATGGCTCTTTTATCTACAACAAGAGCTGTAAATTTCTCTTAGTAGCTGTGCGCTGCCTCTCGTTACAAAGTGAACCATGAGTGAGAGAGTTAGCCGTCATGAAGAGGTGTGGGCTTCACCCAGTCTCGAGGACCCACCCCCAAGAGAGACGTGCATCGGGCAGCTATGTGAGCCCTGAGTGTGTCAAAGTTAAATGTTTTCTGGCGGTGGGAAGCTCATCAGTCCGTCCCAAAAAAAATAAATCATGCAAATTAGCTGGGGCATTGTATAAACCGCGGAGTTTAAAGTCTGTGAAAAAAGTAGCGGCTTATACACCGGCAATTACGATAAATGTGATAGAAGCCTGATTAAAGGCCAACCGTTCCTCAAAGAAACACAAACCACCACCCGCCATCTTTCTTGTTAGAGTTTTAGATCATGCTGTGGTGAAAACTGAGTTTTACATACTTGGCTCAAGCTTTGAAAATAATGACTACAATTCTGTCTTTACTTGATATTTTTATACGCTGGTACGAGGACGGGACGTGTTAGAGCATGACATCGTTCATCCGTCTGTGGACTGTTACATGTCTGCGCTCTAAAATGATAAATCCAAACACAGAAGTGTCAAACTGTGCAGCTGGACACCTTATAGGTCAAGGATGACTCCTATTGATTTTGAGGTCAAGAGGTCAAAGGTCAAGATCACACAGGACCCCTTTGTTAAAACATCGTATATGGTCCATAGAAACATAAACTGCACAGTTGGACACCTTGTAGACCAAAGATCAATCCATCCATCCATCCATCCATTATCTTTACACGCTTCTTCCTTTCCGTGTCGCGGGGGTCAATGGTGTCCATATCCAGTAGTCACTGTGCAAGATGTGGGGGACATGTCTCCAGTCCATCACAGGGACACAGAGACAAACAACCATTCACTCTCTCACTCACACCTAGGGACAATTTAGAGTTACCAATCAGCCTAACATGCATGTTTTTGGTCTGTGGGAGGAAACCGGAGTACCTGGAGAAAACCCACGCATGAACGGAGAGAACATGCAAACTCCACCCAGAAACGTCCCCGGCCGGGATTTGATCCAACAACCTTCTTGTTTAGAGGCAACAACTCTATCACCTGTGCCACCGTGTCGCTTGGACCAAAGACGATCCCTATTGATTTTAAAGTTGTGGGGTCAAAGGTCAAGGTCACATGTGACCCACTTGTTAAAACATTGTCTTTGCTCTTTATAAACATATCAAACTGTGCAGCTGGACACCTTATGGGTCAAGGACGATCCCTATTGATTTCAAGCTCACAGGGTCAAAGGTCATGGTTAAAATCTTGCCTTTGCTCCATAGAAACTGAAACGTCCAACTCTTTGTCCCCTAGCTTGTCATTATCTGTCCACAGGACAATCCACACATTATTATCAGTCTAAATGACCTTTAACCCCTCCATGTATACACTTAATAGACTTATATATTGAGGATGGCATGCGTGCGTCATGTTTTGGATTTTAATTCCTCTAATAATTCACTGACAGGCGTATTATGCACCGTAGGTGGTCCTCTTGTTTCAATTATCATAAGACGGGAGGGAAAACAGAATCAGATCGTTTTGTTTTCAACGTTCTCGCCTCGTTTTTACCGAGGATGTGAATCCAGGGAGGGTTTATCCAAGCTGACATCCTGCTGCTCCTGACTGAGAATAGATTTCTGTTTGTCGAATCAAAACGAGCAGACGAAGACCGACTCTGACGTTCTGACATCCCGTCTGTTCTGACTGACAGATCTTTTAGGACAAATCATTTGGAGCGTTTGGGTAAAGGTTATGAACAGTGACTGTCTTACCTGTTGTAGATGGCTCTTTACTGATCTCAACTGTTTATTACTGATTGGACTGATGAGCCAATGGCTAGTCAGAGCGCAGCTAAAACAAAAAGGATGGGTGCCTTTTTAAAATAACTAATCTTTAAAGTTTCATAGCATTTCAAGTCTAGTTTATTAGCTTTGACATTGTGTTTGTCACCCACAACCGAAAGGCGATGGTACACAATAAATATTTGTTTGTGTTTGTTGTTTTAGCCAAAATATCTCTTAAATCACTCGAATGAATTTCAAGAAGTTCTCAGAAACTTTTTAAAACTGGTTAAAGTTTCGAGTAAAGCCAATTCAAGATGGCCGCCAGAAATAAGCCACCCAAGCAAAGCTAAAAATGGCTATAATTCAATTAGTTTATTATTTTTTTTAAAGATAAGATTTGATGTGGTAGTAGCTGAGAATCACGCTCAACCTATACTCTGAGTGCTAAAACACTTGCATTACCTGCGTTTCTGTCCGTTAGCAAAATATCACATGAAACACGTAATGTATTTCAATGAAATAAGCAGAATTTTATCGTACAGCTGATTCGTATTTGGAGTCAACCTGATTCAAGAAGGTCACTGCAGCTAAACTTAAAAAACACCAAAACGGCTCCAAATCAGTCAGATTTACTGATATTGTGCTAACATTTGGTGTGGTAGTAGCTGAGGGTCGTTCACAATACATACTTTGAGTACTAACTAGGCAAACGTTTTTTTTTTACAAGGTTTGACCATAACACTTTAATCTCAAGAAGAGCAAGACGTGGTGGCGGGCGATAGTGTAGCGTTTTCTGAAGGAATGCATTTCAGTTGCTGCATATAAATCTTAGCAGCTGGGGAAAAAGCTTAAGGCAGCAGAAATGTATACGTAACTAGAGCAACTGCATTTCCTGCAAAAATGCAATTTGAATGCTTATTGCTCAAGAACTTGCTAAAAAAACAGCTGAAATTAGCTAAAAAAAACATGCTGAAATGTAGCCGAAACAGAAGAACAAGTCTAAGTTAGCAGAAGAAAGCAGAAAAAAACCCCACACATTTGCTGAATTAGGGTTAAATAAGCAGAAATTAGCATAACAATTAGGAAATTTCATTAAAAAAAGCTGAAATTAGCAAAGAAAATAGCTGAAAAGGCAGAAAAAGTTTAAACTACCTGAAGGAAGTGGAAGGAACTGAAATGAGCTCAAACAATGAGGAATTAGCTGAAAAAGCTAAACTTAGCACAAAAACAGCTGAATAGTAGCAGGAAAAGCTGAAACTATCAGAAAAAAGCTGAAAGGAACGTAAAGAAGTTCATTAGGTTGAAAGTAGCTGAAATTACCCAAAACAACTTGAATTTATCTTAAAGCAGCTGAAATTAGCTAAAAATGCTAACAAATAAAAAAAGGCGGCTGAAAGGCTAGAGCAAGCTTAAATTAGCAGAAGAAAGCAGAAACAACACGTTTGCCCTATTAGGCTGAAAGACGCAAAAATGAGAACAAAAAAGGGAAATTATCCAAAAAAGCTTCAATTAGCCCCCCCAGCTAATGTAGTAGCTGAAATAGTAGAAAAAGTTGAAACTTGCAGAAATGAGCTAAAAAGAGCAGAAAGAAGTTATAAGTACAAAAATGTTGTAGTTAGCAGAAAGAATCTGAAAGGAGCACAAACCAGATGAAAAAACAGCTGAAATGAGCTGAAAGTAGCTGAAAAAAGTTTAAATTTGCACAAGGAAGCTGAAAGAAGCTGAACCAGAACAAAATGCGAAAGGAGCAGTAAAAGGTTGTAAACAGATCTAAAGATTTGAAGGATGGAAAATGAGCTGAAGTCATTTTATATGATGAAAAAAAAAATGGCAGAAAATGTTAAATATTTCAAAAAGCTAAAGTTGCACCAACACCAAAAGTCACAGCAGGATTGTCCTGAAAGAGCTGAACGTTTTGATTTATGATTTGTTGAAAAAGCTGAAAACTGCGGGACGAGAATCGCACTGAAAAACGTACGGAAGAAAAATAGATTGTGAAAGAGTGAAGGCTTCATGAACATTCACACAATGATGGTTCCAGTAGAAGAAGAGCAGTTTTCAGCTCCTCAGGGTGAACTCTGGGATTTTAATGTGCCTGCGTTCATACCAGCCCTGTTTAGTCCAATTTAATCAAACTCTAGTCCGTTTGCTTAGAAAGTCGGGTTTGTTTGGGGAGGTGTGAATGTGCAATCGAACTCTGATAAAAAGCGAACTCTGGTCCGCCTATAAACCCAGGTCTCGGTTCGGTTGAAGTGAACTCGAGCACTGTTCGAATGCAGTGTGAATGCAAGTAGACTGGAGACCGCTCCAAAAGCAGGAAGTGGACTACAACTCAGGGCATTCTGGGTAAATACAACCAAAACAAACATGCATTTCTCTTACCTCATACGGAGCCGTTTCAGCCACCTTGTGTGAAAAACAACATTCTCCATGGTCTTCTGCCTCATCTTCTCCTCTCGCCGAGTCCATGGTTGAAAAATGACAAAACAGAAATCCTAAAACCCCTACAATTTGACGCCACTCCATTTTTGGTTTTATTTCCAGAAGAAGAAGAAATGTCTTCTTCAGAGCCAATAATTCTCAGTCAGGTCATCTGGACAGTTTCCTTTTTATAGAGACGTTTCGCCCTCTATCCAGAGGGCTTCATCAGTCTGAGGAGTTCCAGTAAACTGTTTCCCCACCGAGCGGTAAACTTCTTAAGTGGACCAACCAGTTTGCTGGAGATGGTTTCTAGGGGCCGTCCTGTCCCTCGTCGACTCCTCCTAGGCAGGCAGCCACAGCCAAAGTGGTTCAAGTCCACAAAGTTCATGCTCAATCATCCATCTGTCCAGATGACCTGACTGAGAATTATTGGATTTGATACCTGGATGATTGAGCATGAACTTTGTGGTCTTCTTCAAAAGGTTTTCGTGTCGTTTCCTTCAGTAGTTCTTGGTGCAGCGCCACCACAGGCGAGGGGGGGGGGGGACAGGTTGGCTCAGTTGACTCAGTGCGGTGTGAATGTGAACCGCACCAGCTGAAATGTAAACAAATGTTCTGAATATTGGTCCCCAACCGAGCCGAGTCTACCGGACTATCATCCAGTAACTCGTGACATATTTTGCCAACAGACAAACTAGATTCACCATAACAGGTACTCCTAAGTTTCTGAATGTGTTGCACTCAAACTGTGTATTGAAGATACTTCTCAGCTACTTCCACACCAAGTCTTTGCTCAACATCTATAAAACTGACAGAACTACAGCCATTTTAAAAATTTTATTTGCGTGTGGCAGCCATCTTGAATTGGGTTGACTCTAAAAGTTAATCAGTTGTAAATGTCAACCCACTGATTTTTTTTCCTGAAAGTTTTATTAAAATCCATCCAGTGGTTCAGGAAATATTTTGCTAACAGACAGCTGAATACAACAGTTATTGCCAGGATGTAAAAGACGAGTCTTGTGCGATCAGTTGTTGCTCAGAGTAAAAGTTGGGGATCAGTGTCGGCTACTACCACACCAAAGTTTAGCTCATTATCCATCACATTAACAGAGCTATAGCCATTTATGTGTTTGGCGAGACCAGTTAGCTGTGGCGGCCATCTTGATTCAAGTCCTTCCTAAAAGCAAACCCACTTCTAATGACGACCCACTGATTTATTCTTCAAAGTTTAATTAAAATCTATGCAGTGGTTCATGAAATATTTTGCTAACAGACATGGACAGACATCAGCCTTTGCTTTGTTTAACGATGGTGAAAACAGGCATTCAGTGCTTCTCCCCTTTACTTTCTAATTATGTCGTTTTGTGGAGATATCACATTTCTCCGTCTGAGACATGAGGGAAAACTTTGTTTTTAAAGGTTGTAGAGAGAAAAAAAAATCAAGTTTGAGTCTCGGCTGCACATTCAGCTCAGAAGGCCGTAAATAAACCTGTAAGATGTAAGAAGGAGAACGAAGCACTTCCTGTGGGATCCATGCCTCTGCTCTTCTTCTCCCCAGGTGGTGATGAGTCAGAGGCTGGGCAGCAGCCTGAGGAGGAAAGTCAGCGAGACCGAAACGCAGCTTTTGGCGCTGCATGAAGCCAAACTGGCGGCTATTTCCGGTAACTTTCCACTCAGCTCCACAAACCTCCACCCCTGCCACATTACACTTCCATTATTTACCCCATTTACTCGCTTCACTCGCCATTAGCCTCTTAATTTGGCCCATTAATGTTCAAGAAGCCTCACTAATGGGCGGCGGAAGCCTAATGTCCTCCCTGTGGTGCGCCGGCGCAGGTAATGACTTCGGCAGCGCCAAGGAGCTGAGAGCCGAGATGAAGGCGGTGTACCTGGAGCGGGACCGGCTGGAGGCGCTGGTCCAGAGGCTGCAGAGCCTCAGCTCGGGGAGCAGCCAGGAGCTGTGCCGGATGAAGGAGCAGCGGCGGCAGCTCAGGCAGGAGCTGGAGCAGAGGGAGGCCCTGCACGGTGAGTCCAGGTTCTGTCACGTAAACAGAAACAACTGTAGAGTGACACCAGAGTTTCCCCCACCCTCACCGTTATACAAGCACCATCAACAAAACCGAGCTCCCTGTCTACTGACCCCCCCCCCACCCCCAGGTAGTAGAGCTGCATTCGGGCCCAAAAAATCCAACCTGACCCAGCCCATAGACATCATTTATGAATCTCATCCGACTCGACGAATTAACAGTAATTACAGGGCCGAACCCAAACAAACCCCACCCCCACCCCGCCCCCGACAGTTTTAATCAAGCTTTGACTGCTTATATAGTTATTAACGGTCAGTGGACGCGCGCGGCTGAGGGGGCAGAAGATCGGAGCTGAGGGGGTGTTTGTCCTTTTATGGTCGTCAAAGCACATTAAATTCCTGTTCCTGCCTGCATTCTGCATTATTCAGACACGGACTCTACTCTGACATGTCTGCGAGGATATTTTGGGATCTCACCTGTTTGGGTTGGCGGCGCGCGTCCGCTGAGTGCAGGCTGAACGTACCATTTGGGCTTTGGATTGCTGGCAGTAGTCCATCCGAAGCTTAACTGAACTTTTTAAAAACTTCTTTCAACCGGCCGGTCAGCGCGTGGTCAAATGGCCGTGTGCAGCTGGTGATTGTATGGCAAGCCATGTTGCCATATAATTGAATCATCAGCCACGTGCGTCCGCTGGCACAATCAAAAGCCTGACACCAACCCGGCCCGCACATTAAGCACATCCGGGCCGGATCCGGGCTGTAGGCAACTGTCGGTATTGACGTAGTGCAGTGTGCAAATACAAAAGCACTAGCAAAAATGCTATTAACATACCGGTCTGCATCCCCCCGGTTGATTAAAAATTGGCAGCAACGTAGCGCTAAGCTAGCAGGTGGGCAACACAGCCATGACTCTGTCCCGTCCTCCCTACTCACTCCCCCTCTATAGACAAAAATAAAATTTGACGAGCGCCCCGCCAAGGGAACTAATCCAGGGGAAACACTGGATACAATGGTTGTACTCGTAGTTTTGGAACCAGTGCCTGCGCATGAGGGATGTGGGGCTTTAAGCCCCGCCAATTTCACTGTAAAGCTCTGTTCACACGACCATGTTTTGAAGGGAAACCGAAACATTTCTTCTGCGTTTCGGCCGTTCGTCTACAGGACAACAGCCGTTCTCGTCTCTGACGCCGAACCTTCTAAATCCAGGGCTCAGAGTGGAGGTTTGAGGAAACAACTGGCATCCTCTCAAGGGAAACCACAGGAAATGTAAAGTCACACGTGCGCACTACACTGCACCCATTCGACAGCTTTTCTGCACAAACAGAAGATAGACAGTAACAATGGAGGATAGCAGAGTGCTGTTTGTGCTGCTCACCCTGTAGGAGCGACCCAACCCTATCCTCGGTCCAAACAAGCGTTCATGCATTCACCATTTTGGACGTAACAGCTTGAGACTGAAGTGACGTTCACATTTAAAGAGGGTCTTATTCACCGTTTCATGCACATGACCAAAGCAAAGAACCCAAGCCGCTTCATAAACAGAACACCTGTCATGCCGTTTAAAGCTTGGAGTTCCATACGCTTTAGCAGTTTTCCTGGATAGGAAGCGAAACGTCTTCAGCTACAGAATATTAGTCCATTAGCTTTGTTTGTTTTCAACTTGTGTTGGTTTGCCGTTTCCTGGATATCTGAGAAAATACACAGCAGCAACAGCAAAGACCCTTTTGTTTACAAGGAGTGGGCGGGGCTTAAAACTGCTCCCGGGACCATCCTGTGGGGGGTGCTGTAAAGGCTCCAGTTTCAACTTCAGCGTTCCTGTATGGACTCTAGGATTTAAATCCAGGTCTTTGGCTGTACTGCACACTAAATATGGCTAATTATAATGATGTGCTGCTGAGTTGAATAGTGTAAGGAAATAATAAGCATCTGCTTTCCACGACTTTTTTTAAATTTTTTTTTTATAGAAAGTGATGGAACGATAAAAATTAAAGTAAAAGACAAAAGTATTTTTGGTCTCATCGCTGGAGTCACTAATTCTCAAAATTAAAAGAGTGCCCTCTTCTAAAGAACTTATAGATAAGTAGGCCTGTCACGATAACAAATTTTGCTGGGCAATAAATTGTCTCAGAAATTACAGCGATAAACAATAATATTGTTTGAAATTTGACAATAATTAGTAATTATTGTCAAATTTAAGAATAAATGTTGGTTAATTTGCTTTGAGTGTAGTACCTTTATTGACCACTAGATGGCAGTATAAGACTGTTTGAACCAAAGGATGGATAGTGAGGGAGCGAGCAGCGTGTCTCTAAAAAAATGGGAGGGAGGCCCCTTGATGTGACATGAACCGTCTCTCCTTCCTTTTTTTCGGTTTTCAAAATGGCGGACGTTCGGCGTGGTTTAAGTTGTTTAGCATAGCATTTGTCACACAAAGCTTTTAATTAAAAAAAAATCAGTAAACAAGTTCTCAGCTTCTTTCTGCAGAGAAAACCTTTTTACACAAAGGCACGGATTTCAACCGTGAATTGTGGAGCTTCGACAACACAGTTTTTTTTCTCGAGGTCGGCCTGTTAGCTTAGCACGTAGCTTAGCTTCTCAGCTTAGCTGCTTTTAACGTTCAAAAAATGTGATTTTGGACTTTAAAACAGATTTTAAAGAGAAAAGAGAAAGGGAGGGGTCAGTGAAGAAGAGTCGAGCCTTTTTTTCATCCAGTGTCTTCAGTAGAAAGAGAGAGACACGAAGAAACGATAAAGCCGATAAATGAAAATGAGATAATTTTCATTCATCATGCGATTAACTGATTTATTGTTTATCGCGACAGGCCTATTGATAAGAGACTCGATTCTTTTTAGAGGCTTTCCGATAAAACCTTTAGTTTATGCAATAAAACGTGTGCATGTAAAAAATCATGTCCATTCAGTTAGTGAGCTGCAGTTTCTACATTATTACAAGTTTTTAAACCTAAAATTAACTTCATAAAAGATTAGGGACTATTTTAAATGGTATGTTTTTAATTTTAAAGTCGAACTATGATTTTTATTTTTTTTTTTAAATCTTGAAAATGCCCGTAGATTTTTAGCACTTAGAGTAAATGTAGGGCATGACTCTCTGCTACTACCACACCAAATTTTAGCTTTATATCTCTAAAAATGGCTGAGCCATAACTGTTTTTGTGTTGCTTCATATGAACCACCCCTGGAAGCAGCCTTGAATTAGGCTGAAAGTTTCACTAAAATCTGTCCTGTGGCTCATGAGATATTTTGCTAACACTACCCAAACAAGGCGAACCATTTTATCGCTCATTTTCCACTTTTCAGCAGCGTGAAACAAAGACTTCACACCCACTGAGCTCAGGATGACGGCCTGTTCTTTTCCTGATGCTGAAAATGAGGATTTAGGTAATTCTTAAACGTAAATGAGGAGTTTCACACCATCTCGTCTCCGGAGCATCAACAGCTCGGTGTCATCATCATCGCTGCATTAACCTCTGGCTGTTGTTCCACCGTGTTCCCAGGAGCAAAAGGAGCTGCAGGTCCCACGACCGGCGTTCAGTAAAAGGGACGCTACTTTAAATATTTAGGAAATCTGGAGTAGACCCAGGACAATCCTCCACAAATAAAAGAGAATAAACTATTTCAGGTTAAGAAAAAGAGCCCGGTCACCTCTTTCACCACCTCACATTTGGACTCAACCCATTTTAAGATGGCCGCTGCACCCAACATAGCTTAGGAAACACAAACATAGCTATAATTCAGCCACTTATAGAGAGATTGTGCTAAAATTTGGAGTGGTAGTAGCTGAGAGTCATTCATAACACATAAGAGAGACCATCTAATCACAAGCAGAACTGGTTTGTTCCACTTTGGAGTAAGCTGTTGGGGGAAGAATCAGTTTTGTTGTGTGTTTCCTTGACTGATGAAGCCTTCTGGATCGAAGGCGAAACGTTTCAGCACAAAAAAAAGAAACTGTCCAGATGATCAGACTGAAAAATGTTGGAAATAAATAAATACATTTGCCTACCAGGAATTCATTGATTGCTCTTCATCTTCCTCCTGCGCACTAAAACCACTAAAGTCGTCTTCAGTGTCAGAAATGAACAGCCTCAGATAAACGTCACGTCCTCAGTCTCTAACGTCGCTCTCAATGTCACTTTCATCTCGAGGCAAATTCGCGTTTTGATTTGATTTACGATTCACACTTATTTTGAGTGGCTGCAAATACTTCGTTGTGTACATTGAAGGGGGGGAACTCCCATGGGGAGGGGAGAAACAAAGGTCCAGTTTCATTGGTCCACTGACCTGTTCAGTAATTTCACTGGGCAGTGTTTTAATCTTTATTTATACAGGTAGTCTCACTGAGTCACGAGGACCCACCCCCCGAGAGAGACGTTTATTGGACAGCTATGTCAGCGCCCAGGTGTGACGAGGCTAAATGTTTTGGCGGCATGAAGCTTGTTAGCCCGTCAAAAAAAAAAATCCATAAATTAGCCGCAGCATTGTATAAACCGCGAGGTTCAAAGCGTTTGAAAATAGTAGCGGCTTATAGTCCGGAAATTACGGTAATTTTTTAAGGCTTGATGAAAGATAGTGGGATATAAATATTAAACCTTTGTTAAGTTTGTGTTTCTTGGCTCCAGTTTGTGCAGACGACCTCTCTTTATTATCTTATTCAGGACAGGAAGCGTACAAAATGGTTTTATTGCTTTCTCTTAAAAAAAAAACTGCGCCTTTCGATTTCCTTTTAAGGCAGAAACATGAATAAATTCTCAGGAGCTAAAGGAAACGCTGCAGCTTTTTTTTTTTTCTTTCTTCAGACACAGAAAACAGTTTTTGTCTTTTCTTTAGAGGCACATTTGAAAGATGTCCTTCCTAAATTCAAACGGGAGCCGTGGACAGTCTGAAAGACACACTCGATGTACACTGCGAGGACATCAGTGAGGTTTCTCCCGAATGAAGCTGCTGTCGGCGGAGGGTCGGCTCTTTAAACGAGTTGGCAGTTG